TTTGTGCCTGGTGCGACGCATCAACTATAAACCTATAGGTTTACCATTGACTTTTAACTCATGAAGTCCCTGAGTGACATCTACTTCCTGATTTAGTCATGTGACTAGAGGGGGACTCTGGGTACTGAAGTCTTGGTGCACCAAAGCAGGTAATGTGACCACTGAGCTAATTTTAGGAACTCTCTTTGTAAAAGCAAGTTTTCACTCATACACCTGTTCAAATCATTACATAACATGTTGTATTTCACTTTTAGCCCAGTTTAACAGCATTTTTAAACAATTTGATAAAGAAAACACTAAAAAAATATACAATGTATTTAATTTAAAAAAAATCAACTCGTTCCACTCAACTGAAGTGAGTAAAAATAACACATTTACTTTACATTTAATGTAAATAAAAATAGTGTCATCTTTCCTGAAATAAGTGAAACTAGTTGACATTTTTTAATTAAATCAACGATCTGTTTTTTGAGTGTAGGTTTGCCAAATATTGGCAATAAACCCTGAATTGTACATAAAAATTTCCTGTGACACATTTGTCACAGTCAGACAAACACTAATTAGTCAATTTAGCTCATTCAGTTATTTTGAATAAATATGTTTTCTTTTGTTCATTTAAAATCACATTTAAAGAACTGTAAGCATGAAGTTAAAATAAAGTTTATTACAAATTACTACATACTTCCAATGTGACATATGTGACATTTCCACTGTGAGGAGGTATAAAAAATGTTAAAAATTCCAAAACATGTTCCATATAATCCATTTGTTATCATTTAAATCCCCCTTAATTTTCATGGAAGTAGAAATGGGTCTGGGTGCTAAAGGGTTGATTCATTTCTCCATCATTAATTATGCAACACGTCACAAGGCAAAAGTGATTGGAGTGAAATATGCAATCATGAAAACAAACACTAAAACAAACAGAATAACCTGCAGGCCTACTGTTGTATTAAAAAATAAGTTTGATTTAAATTATATTGCAGAGCTTTGTTTTACAAAAAAAATCTGATAAAAATCCTACTGCAGAGGTTGCAAGGTCACTGACAAAAATCCTGATTTGTTGCTAATTACTACACCAGGCAGACAAAATAATGCTTCATATGAAATATTTATGAACTCAGTCCATTTATAACACCACCATGTGCTGATATTTGTGATGTCATAACCTCTTTTTAAAACTCTCCGGTCCACTTGGGTTGTTTTGTGGCCTAGGAATCTAATAAAATCATTTTGATTAATCTAACCTCTTTAAATTTGAACCATTTCAGCTCATAAAGAACAAGAACCATCCAGATTAATATTCTACTCTGACATGATGAAGGTTACAGAAGAACAATTCATTTATTCTAACATAAAATCCTGGTAAGTGACCAAATGAATTAGGGTTTGGTTATGTCTGCTCTAATGTCATTAAAATTTCCAATCAGAGCAAATCAAATAATTTTCAGGTTGTTTCAAATCATTAAAAAAAGCTTTATCTTAAAAAAAAAACAATAATATTGTCTGATGACATAAAAAGCTCTAAATAACAATAAGAAATGTTTTCGTTGCATATAGTTCTGTTATTGTATTGACAATGGAGTCACTGGTGTGCTAAAGTAATACAAAGAAAGCTGGCCTAATGATTCAGTAAAACAGTAGAGAGAAAATAAAAAAGGTATTGTGGAGAAGAAACTGCTGCAGAGGATATATTGCTGTATGGAGCAGAATGTAGCCAGCAGGGCAGAATTAGTCTATCGAGTCGCAGAAGATAAAGCTCATCCAGTCAGATAATGCATGCTTCAAGATTATTGACTGCAGCAGAACAACACAAAGCATCTTAATGGGAGACGTTCGGCTCTATTTATTTACATTTAGGGAGGCAAAAGTGAGAAATCTCTCTGGTTTCATTTGACTCTGAGTCATCTGATGGATCATTTCTGCTCAAACATAAAAAAAAAAATAAAAAAAACACCAGTAAGAAACCTCAGTCAGGAATGACATATATATATGTAATTCATTAAAATGGTCACAGCTATACAGTTGTCAAAGTTTCCTCCTGCATGCAGGAAGGCCTGAGGCCAAAACAACACTGGAGGGAGGCTAAAGAAACTAGTTTTGTTTTGTCCAAACACCACTACAAAAGCAACAACAGAATAAATGAGTCAAAACAATTTACACACCTTCCATGCAGGCAATTAACCAGCTCAATGAGTGTTGTTTGGCTTCAGCCTCATGTCTTTTGTCCCTGCAGCTCTGTTACTTTTTTTTTTTTTTTTTTTTTTTGACAAACCAGGTTTACACAAAACAACGTCTAACTACTGCCCCCTTGTGGCCAAAAAACATTTCTTGTTTTTCAATGCTGCACTGCAGTAAGGCTTCCTCCCTCTCAAACGTGGGATTTATTTCTCTTTCACTCACTGTTAAGAAGAATGTACATGGACCGTGTGTCACCAAAGAATTGTTTTCATAACATCCATGCTTATCTCAGAAAAAACAAAACAAAACAAAACTTTAGAGCGAGCTTCACAGCAGGTTTGGAGTCAGTTCTAATTTTAATGTACGATTAATGCAAGTCTCTTTCAAATATTAAACTTTGTACAACACATAACTCATGAACTTAAAAGTTAATAAGAATTTTGAGATACAGATAAATAAATAATTGATGAATGGTTTTGTGCGAATATATGAGCATTCTATAACACAGTACCTGATGTATGTAACTCTTAAGACAACTTCAGTTTGAAAGAATAAATTTTAATTTGGACCAGACTGAGAAGTCTTCAGTTGGTCTGAGTTGAGCCATGAACAGAGCATGCTATCCAAAAACAGCTGTTGTGCATCAGTGCATCACTGTCAACTTTGCATTATGGTTATTTAGAAACTCTGTGTTTATCGAAAGTGTGAACAGCAGCAGCTGACTTAAACAAAAAACAAGTAAAAATATAAATAAATAAATAAATAAATAAATAAATAAATAAATAATTTTTTGCTCTAAAGGGGATATTCTTGGATTTTACTTTTTTTGGGTGGGGGGGGGCGTATGTACAGTCTCATACTGTTGTGTCCAATTAAAAATGTTAACAACTGCTCTATGTGTTGAATTTAAAACAGAATCTCTGGAGCCAAACATCTGCTGCTAACAATCACCTGTGGAGTGCAGCAGTCCTAGGGGGGGTCCAAGGCAAGTTCCCTCCAAAAAAATATTTTTAAAGGGGACCTAATATGCAAAATTCACTTTTATCAGTTTTTTTTAACTTACATTTGGGTCTATACTGCTTCTAAAAACAGTTCAAGCACCAAAAAATGCACTTGAAGATATAGTATTTTTACTTTAAGTAAATGTATTTTTGTGTCTTGAAATGACCTATTTTTAAACACCAACTGCCTGATGGCAGAAGGCTGTGGAGCATGTATAACATCAAATTATTTAGGGGGGCTTGAGAATGTTTTATGAGGAGCTGCAGCCCCCCCTAAAATAGGCCTAGTGATGCCACTGGACTTCAAGGAGTTGTGGTAACTCAGTGGTCCACGCTGATTAAACCTATATCACTGACTTTTTGAGTGACTCCGGGGAGGTTGATTGGACCTCGGCAGAACCACTGAGAAAAAGCAGGATGAGGCCCAAACGTCCACTGATGATGTTCAGCGTTTTGTTCAGGGTCACCTGAAGTCGTGACAGCTTTGAGCAGTGCTCTGAAACTCTTCAGCTGATAGAGTCAGGAGTTGGAGGTTATTGTTACATCAATGAGAGATCCTTTAACTCAGAAGTTCTCCATCTAACCCTAACCCTGGGGGTCCTAAAGGAAAAAAAATAAGTTTGAGAACCACTGCTTGAATGGGACTTACCTTTTAAAGTAACAAATAGTTCTTGTTGTTTAGCTTCTTTTTGATTTTCTGCTGCCAGTTATAAAAGCTGCAACAATTCAAGTAAAAATCATTAGAGAATAAAAGAAAAGCACACAAGATTTCAGATTTTCAGATTTAGATTTATTTTGGTAAATTTACATAACAAGAAAAAGAAAACAAAATGAAAAACTATTTTTCAAATACAAATCAATAATTTATGAAAAACAGAGTAGGCTCATGCCTAATATATATTTTATTCGATACAAGAATAAAAACAAAATCTAGAAAACAAAATTAGATAAAATCCAAGTGACCTGCCAGTATTGAATGTTTATTTAATCTTGCTCTAGATCAGTGGTTCCCAAAGTTGGGGTCGGGACCCAAAGTGGGGTCCTGAAACATCAAGGTGGGGTCCTGAAACATCAAGGTGGGTCCTGAAACATCAAGGTGGGGTCCTGAAAAGATTTTCTAAATTAATTACATTTTTGCCTTAGTTGCCTAAAATGTATGAATGTAGAATAATACATATTGTTACTATGCCCGTGTTTAGTTGACCTGATACAAATGTTTATCATCCAAACATAGTTGGGGGCACAGGTCTCTGCTGCTGTTATTTTGTGGGTCAAAAGCTGAAAAGTCTGGGAACCACTGCACTTCAGAAATTAATTTAAAAAGGTAATAAAATAATTGCTGATGTAATATTTCCCCTATAATTATTACAAAAACACAAAATAAGTATAAATAAGTATTTATAT